CGTAATCAAGCATTTTACTGTTTAATCTGATTAAATTCCAGCTTAGGCTGACTCCCAACGTGAAATTTAATGGGGAAGCCCTCCGCGGCTTCGCTCCTACCTACCTCTGTGACCTGCTGACTCCATACTGACCTGTCGGCTCCCTCCGCTCAGTGGGCTCTGGCGGGCTCCACGTCCCCTGCCCTGGTGGTCAGGGCTTCAGCTCCTCTGCCCACCTCCCCCACAACACCACCCTTTGGAACTCCATCCAACATTCTGTTGCCCCCTTGCCCCCTCCCTCGCCTCCTTCAAGGGCCGTCTCAAGACCCTCCACTTCGACCGGAGAGGAAAAACTGGATAGTCCTTTTGTTTCACTTGAATTCTATTAAATACTCTTTATTCTAGGAATAACACATTGTGGATCTAAAATTATACATTCAGGACAGACTATGACAAAATACCGCTGGTTTTTATTTATTTGCCTTTGACTAAATAAAAAATATAAAAGCCTAAAACAGTGGGTAACATGGTAACAAGGTGAAATTGAACAGCTGTAGACACAGAATGTCTCATAAAGCCAAATAAAGAGTGTAAAGGTGACTGCATCGTCAAAAAAAGGGGCCCAGGAAGTCAGCGATTTTACCACAAACAAAAATAAAAAAGGATACATGCACAACGAGATGAGCTAAACTTTGTTTTTTTATATAAAAAGGAATGTAGAAGGAAAACTCTTCAATGCTACTCTGAGTCTGTAAACACCATTAAAACACCTGTTTCACTTAATTGGAGAATAGATCTTGGCAATAGCCAAAAATATGTTTTTTCCCACTCTCTCGTAAGCCTCAAAACAGTTTTCCCTGTCTCGGAAGTTGGCCCTTGCTTGTAGTAATAGTTCTTGTTTTCAGCAGTGTTTACATGTGCCAACAAAGGTAAGATTGATCCTGCAACTCAAGAGAGGGGGGTGGGGGTGAGTAGAGGGTTAGGATGGGGAGTGGGTTAGGGTGGGGTTGGTTTAGTGTCTTAAATAAAAGTGAGCGAGTCGTTCTAAACTTGTAACAAAAAAAATCATGAACTGATATGGTTCAGAAACTATCTTCACCATTAAAGTAGCGTACTGTAATCAGCATGTGTTATTTTGCACAAACTGTGTGCCGTGTGTTATCTTCAGCAGCAGATGTTACTTGGATTCATTTCGCCGTGCAACTGTGGACAGAGAGCGGAAAAAAAGCCTCTGCAGGTCTGCCTTTTGAAAAGGAAGCAGGTTGTGAGCCAGTGATCAGGCCTTTGCTGCCAACTGCCAACTGCAATCCCTTTAAGGAATTAAACTAAATTTGATCTCATCAATTACATATTTTCTTTAACAGGGACATAAACTCAGCACAGTTGTGCTTCAGAGAGGCAGGTGGGGACAACCACTGGGCAGAGAGGTCGGTGTCTTAAGTGGAAAGCAGCAGGTTGTTAGTACAGATTCCACGTGACATCACCACAGAGCCAGTTCAGAGCTGTCCCAGAGAATCATTCTAATGTTTTTAAACCCTTTGGAAAACTTTTTGGAAGATTCTTTTTTGGTTGGGGGTGAGGTGGTTAAGAGAGAAAAAANTAACTGTTGCCCAAACACTTTGGATTCCTTTGAAGAACTGTCTTTCAAGAACAAATGAGATAGATTTCCGTTAGGAAATAATATCTTGGGATACTTTATAATTTGGGACATGATAAGTCATGCGACTGCCAAGATGGTGAAAAACAAACTGGATGGACCTGGGTCTTCTTTCACCAGCAAATTCTTATGTTCTTAGGCTCATTTGGAGGAGTGTGATTTGAATCAATATTTCAGCAAACTAAACATGAAAGCTACAGGTGTACAGTGGCAGGGGAAATGGTTGTGAGCGCTAACAGACATTTACACAATGGGCAATGCTAGCAAGTCACCTAGAGAAAAGTGAATAATGTCATCAGTAGCAGGCACACATCAGTTCTGAGAGTCAGACTCGTTTCCTGATAAAAATCAACCATCATTTGTCAAGCAGGCCAGATCAGAAAGGGCCAGGAACCCATGGCTATCAAAAGAGTTTGGCTTAAACCTTGTCCAGTCCTGGGATATTAACTGCTGCCCCAATTGTATGCAGCTGCTAAGCAGGAGACTCAATTACTATGGAGCCAAATCAATGCCAAGCGTACAAAATGATTACAAAAGAAAGTGAAAGAACAATACACAACCTTGTAAAATGGTCCTTAAACCATGGAGTCAAAGGGGTTCAACTTGACAGTAAACCTCACACAAGTCGTATCAGTTGGGACCATACATATCATATGACTTAGGCAAAGTCTGAGTAATTTGAAACTTGCATAAGTCGTATCATATATGACTTATGTAAAGTTATGTATAAATCTGATTCTATATTACTTACACATAACAATACTTTATAGCAACCCAACCCAAAGATACCCAAAATACTGGGGTGGTGGGTAAGGTCAAAGCAGCACATGTAACTGGATCAAAACATACACATGTATCATTACAAACAATTAAATGAGAATATTTACTACTTTCAATAAAAAGAAAATTGTCTCTATGGCTCGTTTTGGCTCATAACATGCTTGGGAAATTTGTCTTTTTTTAAAAATAATAAAAGAATGTTAACACTGAAAAGAATTGTTGAAACTTGATCCTCATGACACGGGGCTCCAAGTTTTTGTTCTTACCTATTTGTCCCGCTGTGCATGTATACGCTACAGTGAGGATTGATTTCCACAGCAAAATGAAATTCTGGGATAGGTAGGTGGGCTAGTGGAGGGGAAACCAATATAAATTTTGTGAGCACATGACACCCTCTCTCCAAGCTGAGCAAAAAATACCGCTGGCCACAGACATGAAATCCAATCTCTTCCACAGCTTTGAGGAGTAGCATGAGGAGTGCACCCCAACCTGCCTGAACCGAGGTGCGTGAGCACTGGAACATTACCAAAATACAACTCGGTGGCTATAATGAAGGGCCAAGCGCAGGCTGAGAAATCCGAGTGGACTAACAATGTACATGAGGCCAGGAGAGAGCTGCAGGACATTGGCGTGCAGGGCAGATTAGGGTAACTGTGCCAACAATTTGCAGTGACATCACTGACTGGGTTGAGCAAGATGCAGCGAGCGAGCATTCTCAGGCTAACCCTATACGGCATCTCGGCACTGTACTCCACTGCACTGAAGCCAGGCTTCCTGACAAGATTTTGTGTGAATGCAACACCACGTGGGTCAGTGGTAGCAGAGGTGGATAAGCAGCTCTAAAGATGATGAGTTTAGCCTAGCCTATTGTGCTGGGGTCGTTCTCCTGATGTGAAAGGTTCTACACAAAAGTAATTTATTGTTGTTGTTGGGAAACCATTAAGCAAGATACCTAACCTAACATGTTTCACTACGCAGCCCTTAAAAGCCCTAAATGACTAATATCCGGGCCTTGTTTTGAATGTTTTATGGCTGGAGTGAGAAGAGTGCACAGCGTTGCTCTGCAGATGCTGATTGTGTTAAGTTTGGCCTCGCTGTAATGGCATCAAGATATTTGCTCTTAGTCTTCACCAGCCAACAATACCATCAGCTCCCAGCTCTCTAATGCCTTGTAATCACTGTCATGCGTTGGGCAGTCTGATTACCACTCAGATCGCCACAGCACATTATCTGTGGTAAGAAATTGCCCCTCCAGTTACATTTCCCTCAGTAATATCCACACCCCTCCCCCACGCAACCACCACCTACAATTTCTCAACAAGCAAGGTCCAACCACACTCGTCAGTTCAGTCTGAGCAAGATTGCAGTGGTTCAGTCTACTAAATCGACCACCTTCAGAGTGTGAGGTGTGTGTGCGTAGCCGTTGATAACTGGTATGTACACTACACTGAAAGCAGCTGATCACAACCAAATAAAACTCAAGTCAGAAAATTATCTGCAAATAAATAGTTACAAAGAAATGGTTAAATATGCAAAGAACTGAATTCACTGACCTAATACAACAGATACACTGGCCATTTACAATCAGAATGGTCCTATACTACAATATACAGTCTGGATTTGGTGAACTGAATTTGTAGACCAAAACTGACCTTAAGGCAACAGTCTGTTCTATCAAGTCTGATCTACATGTTTTTTGCCAAGGGGTGAGTGGCTTCACTTTAAATGGACTTTCCCTTCAGTCAGCCTTTCTGGGTAAGATTGATTTGGGTGGGCTGTGCTACACAGTCAGCCCCCCACCCCCACCCGCACTGGTCACACTCCCTCCTGAACTACTTTGCACCCTGAAATGGTAAGAAAGAGCTCAGAACTTTAGAAAGATCAGATAAGTAGTGTGCGTGTAAGAGTTAGAAGAGGGTGGGTGCGGAGGGGGTCAATGAGGTGGAGTGAAAAGGGGGGTTGGGGCGAGAAAAGAATCAAAACCAAAGTACCAAAGTGAGTGGTAGATGATGGGTGGGGCAGAAAATAGAAACTACTCCCATCGTAGCTCCCATATTGTAAAGTGGAGTGTGGGTGTAGTTTTGCCCACAAAATACACAAGTCACTCCACTTTATAATATAGTCTGTGAAGCGCTTTGAGACGTCTCAATGACTAGATAAGTTGCTATATCAAAATGGAAGAATTATTGTTATATTATTTTATAAAATAGAAGCATTTAGTCACAAATATTGAAGTCAACTGGGTTATCCATGAAGGGGGGGGGGGGCACGGTAAACACAACAGTGGAGACTGTTAACTTCACAGTGGAGGGGAAACGCTCACTGAAAGGAAAGCAGGAGAGAAAGTAGCTGGCTGCAATATGGATTGGCTACTCAACATGAAAGATAACAAACCCAAAAATGTTATACTAGAAGGAGGTACGTTCCATAAACGTTGTTGTTGCACGTCAGTGAGGGCTGTGTGTATAGCTCCACACCCGAAGGAGAACAGTGCAAAAATAAACAGCCATCTCCATGCTGGTATGAAGTAGCAACGTTCAAAGAACACACACACACAATAATTTTGAGTTGATAAAAGAGTTGTGTGTGTGGTTTGGTTGTGTGTGTGTGTTGGGGGGGGGTGGGTAGGAATCAGATGGTGTGCTGGAGCTGCAGTCCCCCAGCACTCGTTGGTATGTAGCTGAAACTGGGAATGGTAGTGAAGGTTTGTGTCAGGAACAATGAATTAGTGTTATCGGCTGAGTATGCTCTTCTGATTCCCTCCACCCAGGAACAAGCTCATTTCTTCTTTGCGTTGACATTTTTGCAGACCCAGTTCATTCCGTCCTGAAATAGAATTCCAGATTTTTAGGAAAAATAAACAACCCCTTCCCATGCCCTCCCCACCCCGAGGAATTACTACCCCTCCGCCATGAGAATTTGACACATTGACAGGAAGAATTGTCATCAAATTCACACAACTTGATCACACATGGGTCACATGGGTGGGGATTGAGTTGACTCTGATTCATGAACATGTATATACACACAACACGCTAATCACACACACGTGTGATGCACAGGCACACATATAACCACATGCACACATCAACCATACAAACACGCAAACAGGAGCACAAACCAACCACATTAGTTTGATGATATTATGCAACAGGCATCTATTTGGATCAATTAAAGCAAACTTTTCAATCTTGTTCACAAAGCACAGCAGGGCCAGACATCATTTTATTCAGCCTCGTCGCCACTGCTGTTGTAAGGTGATCTTGAGTTACTACTTCACTTAGGTTTGTGCAGAAACAGTAACCATAGTTACTTTTCAATACACATCACGGTCACGTGTGCGGGATGGCAAACGAGATAAAAGCTGAAGCTAATAGGAGGCAACAAAAATCTAGCTGGGGACCCTCTTTGAAAACAGTCTGCCATAAAAGCAGCTGTGGCCAGAGAGCAATGTAATGAGAGCCTCTTACACATTAATTCTAGTGATTGCTTCTGTGAGATTACAGAAAGGCTTGAGAAATGGTAACCAGATACCAATACGCACAGATTTCCCACAGGCTAATGAATGCTCTGATTCAGCAAAGCCATCGTGGGTGCCTTCATTTACACATCTTGAAAACAAGAGAAATGGATTAATTGTTCAAATTCTGTGCCTGATCTAGATTGGCATAATTGTCAATTTCATGGGGCTGTTTTTTATTTTATTTCAAGACCTGCAGACTAGTGCTGGTATAAACAACAACAAGTTGCACTTATATACCATCTTCCACAGGGTAGCGTCTCAGAGCGTTTAGCAATACCTGTGTATTCCATTGCAAACCATAGCAATGCCTGTGATTTCATATTCTTCACATATGCCTATCCACTCCCTCTGCTCATTGGGCTCTGGGCTGCTCCATATCGCCCGCCTGGCCTGCCCCACCATCGGTGGTCGGGGCCTCAGCCTCTCTGCCCTCACCTTTTGGAACTCCATCCCACAGTCCCTTTACCTGGCTCCCTCCCTTGCCTCCTTCAAGGTCCGTCTCAAGACCCTTCTCTTCAACTGTACCTTCGGTCACCCTCCTACCCTTACCCTCCATGCCATCCACCCTTTCTGATCCCAACTGCCAGGTCAGGACCAAATCCCTGATTGTCCAGTGCCTTGGGACATTCTTCCAATGTGAAAGGCGCTGTGTAAATGTCACTTGTTCTTGTTGGTGGTAGTTCTGCTTCAGGTGGGACCCTGCAGAGGACTGACTGCCTGGTTATGTCTCTCTGAAGCTGTCAGGATGGGAGGTCACAAAGAAACCTATCCCATTCATTTTGCTATTAAATTTACACCTTGTTTCCTCCCCAATTGCAGGTTTCCTGTGTGTTACGCAGCAGAAGAGAGAATACATTAAACCTACTGGTAATTTCTTCCCTCCACCCAGGGAGGGGTTTTTGCTTCCATAACACCGCCTATCACCACATGGTGCACTTAATGAACTATCAACTTTCTCTCCCTTCCATTGGGAAACATAAAAATTATTTGCAATTGAGAAGTTTGTACTTGCAGATTGCCCATCGCCCCCATGCAAAAGGCCACTTCACTATAGTGTAGAATTCCTCAAGAATGAAAGGACAAGCATTTTGATAGTACTTTTATCACATCAAAATGTCTCAAAGCATTTCCCAGATAATTATTATCATGTGGTGTTACATGAGCACAAGAGACTGATTGTGCCTATTTTAGTGCTAGTCTACGCCACTGAAGCCATCTCATTTAATCCCATTCCAATTTCCCCGCTCTTAAGCCATACCCTCAAATATTTATCCAATTCCCTTTTAAATACTGTGAAACTCAGCCATTTCGAGGTTTGGGCACAGTTAAACTCCAGCAGTACCCACTATGCACATTCTGGGATTCCCCCCTCTCCAGCCTTGGCTCTTGCCAACCTGTGCCTAATATACCCCAGATTACATAAACAGAGCACATCCCTCCAGGGAGAGAATGGGCATTCCAGTCTAGACACAGGAACATTTCCATGTGGAGGTGGCAAACACATGAGGAATACTTAGTCTGGTTTAAACACTCTTTAAGCACAGTGATGGGTTACCCCATGTATCAGACACCCAACATAATTCACCAAATAAAAGCCATCTTGTCCCGTGGGAAGTTCTCACTACATGCCCTGATAGGTTTTCAGGGTAAACACAATAGGACAGCAATATCCTGCAAAAAGCCATGATGTTAACCACCAATTAAACACCAAAATATAGCTACCTAAATCCCTCTTGAATTTGCTGACCCCACTTTTCTTTTACTAATTTACTGTGTACTCAAGAAATAACAAGTGCAACGGTGACACAAATAAACAGCAGTGAGAACAGGCTGACCTGTACGCCCTCTCCTGTGAGCGCGGAGCAGGACTGGATTTGCCAAACTCGGTCACGGATCGTGTGCAGATTCAAGCCCTCTGCTATCTCGGAGGCCGGAGCCGCTGTAAGGAGGTCCTGCTTGTTAGCGAATATCAGCACTGGGACTCCGCTCAGCTTCTCTTCATCCAGCAGCTCAGCAAGCTCCTGAAGTCAGCAAAGCAAGAGAGGCACAGATAAAGAAGGTCCTTTGGTCCAGCGCCTTTGATAATAATCCTTGCATTTGATGTAGCACCTTATCACGCCGTTGGGCCATCTCCAAGTGCTTCATAGAAGATACTATTAAGTGAATTGATTGTGTATTTTGTGGGGAAAATTAAGTAGCCAATTGTCCCACAAACTGTCTTGGATTGAGTGATCAAATTATTTCTTTATTTGGAGGGATTATTATCCCCAGAAATGCAATCCTACAATCGACTAACAACAGGGTTCCTACTTACTGCTAGGTAAGCAGAGACATGTGGAGGGTGGAAACTTGCTTAAGGTTTTGCCCTGCCAGGGTATCCAACCCAGAGTGAGGCGAGTGCTCTAAGAACTACACTACAGGACTCCACAATCCTGCATAGCCACCCAATTGTCTTCCCACAACGGCATTGAGCTGCTTCTTAAATGAGTCCAGTGTCCTGGTCTCGACTGCCATGGAGTCCTGCAGCTCAGTGGTTAGAGCACTTGCCTTGCAAGGGAACGATCTGGGTTCGATTCCTAGGCAGGGTGAAATGTTGGGCAAGTTTCCTTACTCCACCCGCCTCTGTTCACCCAGCAGTAAGTAGGAACCCGATTGTTAGTCGATTGACGGATCGCTTTTCTGGCGGTAATAATTCCTTCAAAAAAATATATAATAAAATGATCACTTCAATACATGACTGTTTGTGGGACACTGCTGTGCTGCGTTTTGTCCACAAAATATACAGCCAATTCACTTGACAGTATATTCTGTGAAGCGCTTTGAGACATCTTGAAGACGTGATAAGGCGCTTTATTAAATGTAAAGATTACTATTATTGTTGATGACCCATTCCAACTGCTGATTACCCGCTGTGTATAGAAATGGTGTCTGTCCTAAAATTGCCCTTCAATGCCTTGATCCTCTTGTCCTGCTGCCTTGTTTTATGTGGCAGTATTGTTAGTCCTTTATGGGTTAATTTCACAGGACTAAATGGCATCAGTCATAAGTCAAACCAAAATACATTTTCTCTAAACAACAACAATCCTGGGAAACAACTACAATTAATATTATGAGGACCAGATTCCATAAGGTATAAATAGCACAGGAACTCAATTATAACGTCCCTCTATCCTTGTATTTGATACAGCACCTTATCACAACGCTGAGAGTCTCAAAGCGCTTCATATTGTAAAGTGAATTGACTGTATGTTTTCTGGGGGAATAAAACCGGAGGGTTTATTATTCACCCGCACTTTTAAAACTTCACATTATCTGATACTGAAACCATCTGAAAGCCAGACACAATTAAAACAACACCCTATAGAGACCAGCTACAAGGATGATGTCTTGAGCAAAACCAGGTGCTGCTGATATGTTTATAATGATCAGCAAAGCAAAGGTTTTGGGACCAGGTTAGAGACAACCACACAGAGCAGCCAATTAAACAACAAACACTTTGGTGTCCTGGAGATGAGGAGAGTGACATCGTGGAGGCGGGTTTGCCAGAAAAAGCGGAGGGGGGGAATACTGTTGAAATGAAAGCAGTGCAGGTCAAATGGGATCGATTGGATTGTTTTAGTTCTTTTCGACTCCGTGGTATCAGTTGACACTTTGTATGCCGAGTAACACTGCAGCCATTCGGCTTTGAGACAACAAATTTTCAAACTACTTTGATTGCATGCCAGCTCTCTGAAGCCATTAGATAGCTCTCTTTCTGAATGACATGTCAGCAAATGTAGATGCTTTATAATAAAATACCACTGACACCTCAGGTTACCAACTGTTTAGAAATAGTCTCAGCTTTCTAGTTATGCAATGAACATAAAAGTTGAAAATAATTTGGCTGTTAACTACTATTCAAGTCATCACTGTTGTATTAGTCACGAATTTGTCTTGCCCAGAACAGAACCAGAGGACACGGCCTACAATTGAAAGAGGGTAAATTCAAAATATATTAGCAGAAACACAATTTCAATAAGCGAGTACTAAATGTATGGAAAAAGCTCCCTAGGGAGCTGGTGGAGAAGAAAGTGCTGATTCCTTCAACACCAAATTAGATAATTTATTTTAGGAAATAATATCTTAGAATACAGTATATTGTTTGAGACAACATGTGCTTGCAATTGCCAGGATGTTGAAAGGCGAACCGGATGGACCTTGGTCTTCTTTCGTCTAGCAATTCTTATAAGAACATAAGAATTAGGAGCAGGAGTCGGCCATTCAGCCCCTCGAGCCTGTGCCCCACCATTCGATAAGATCATGGCTGATCTTCAGACCTAACTCTAATTACCTGCCCTTTCCCCATATCCCCTAATCCCTCTGTTTTTTAAAAAATCTCTCAGTCTCAGCCTTGAAGATGTTCAAGGACTGACATCTACAGCCTTCTGGGGGAGTGAATTCCATAAATTCACTGCCTTCTGAGTGAAGAAATGTTTCCTCAACTCTGTTCTAAAAGGCTGACCCTTAATTTTAAGACTGTGACCCCTGGTTATAGATTCTCCTATTGGGGGAAACAGACCCTCAGTGACTACTTTATCAGACCCCTCTTAAGGCGAGTGTGTCATTTCTTAAATAAGGAGACCAAAACTGCACACAATATTTTCGATGCAGTCTCACCAAGGCCCTATACAGTTGCAGCAAGACTTCCCTACTCTTGTATTCTAACCTTTTTGCGATAAACACCAACATGACATTAGCCTTCCGAGTTGCTTGCTGTACCTGCAAACTAACTTCCACCATTCTATAAGATCATGGCTGATTTGTACCTCAACTGCAATTACTGGCCTTTGCTTCACATGACATTTGGTCTTCTTTTCTCCTCCTCCCTGATTGTTCTTACACCTGCAGGATGAGGTGGTTTAGCTCTCTACTGCCAGGCACTCTCATTGCTGTTTGGTTCGGGCTCTATAATTCCTCCTTTCAGTGCTCTGAGTCAGAGGTGCAAGAGCATTATTTGGCTCTGAAGACTGTAATAGCACTCCCTCGGAGTTAACTCATATTTATTCACCAAATCAGATCTAGATGTCACAACACATGAGGTAGCCATTCAGCCCATCAAGCCTTTGCTGGCATCAGCTCTCTCCTAATTTTTATACCCATTTACTTGCAGATCTACGTTATTGACAGTGCAGACAGAAAAAGATTTGAAGAAACGGGCCAGGTGAGTGACACATCAGGCTGTTAAAATGTTAAAATAAAAGAACCTCCAGTGAATATTGTTGTAAAAACTGCATGTTTCTGGTGTGATACAGAATGGGTCTACTTTGTTTTACCTTAAAAAACCAGATTTGGAGCAAATTTAAAGGTGGGGAGGGGGTGAATTGATAGCAGTTTTTTCTTTGATCCATGTTTAAGAGTTTCCAAATCAAACTGAGAATTCCATGCCTCCCACCTATAGATGGAAATCCCAGAGAGAGATTGTTGGAATGGAATGCGCTCTCTCCTTGGAGGGACGCATCCTGTTTACCTAATTCCGGAACGTATTAGGCGCAGGTTGGCAAATGCCAAGGCTTAGGGACCCAAGAGTGTGCTTTGGGGTCACTAATTGATAATTAATTATCATTAATTAATTATCAATTAATTGCTAATTGATAGCAAAGGGACCAAACACCTTAATCCTGTAAAATCTTGTATGAGGGAGATCGTGTAATAATAATAATCCTTGCATTTGATATAGCGCCTCATCACATCTTTTTGAGACGTCCCAAAGCACTTCACAATTTACTGTAAAGTAAATTGACTGTATATTTTATGGGCGAAACGTGGCAGCCAATTGCGCATAGCAGTGTTCCACAAACAATCGTGGATTGAAGTGCCCAATTTATTATTTTTTTTGGAAAGAATTATTACCCCGGAAAAGTGATCCACCAATCGACTAACAGCCGGGTTCCTATTTACTGCTAGGTAAACACAGGTGTGCGGAGTAAGGAAACTTGCCCAACATTTCGCCCTGCCGGGAATTGAACTCGCTTGTGAGGCAAGTGCTCTAACCACTGAGCTACAGTACTCCAAAGTCTGAAGTGTAGTGGATGTTGCAGCAGTTTATGGACCAGGAGTTCGCAGGTTCAAATCCAGGTCCGAGTTTTGTGGTCTCATCCAGAGGCTTACGGAAGAAGGCTAAATTGGCCCGGCTTTCCCTTAAAAAAATTCTCAAAGCGCTGAGATTAATTAACACTGACATGAATATTATGGAGGCAAACAATGGCAGCTAATTTGGTCAGCCAAGTGTCTGACACGTGCTTAAAGAACTCATCACCGTGCTTAAAGCACTCATCACTGTGCTTAAAGCACTCATCACTGTGCTTAAAAGAGTTTCCAAACCTGACTGAGTTCCACATGTGTAAGCCACAAACACATTGAGCCACTTCTGTGAAGCACTTTGAGATGTCTAGAAGACATGAAAAGCGCTATATCAAATACAAGGATTATTATTAAACTGCTCTGTATCTGGAGGAATATACCTATTTTACATAATTCTAAGTACCTGTTATAGGTTAACAAGAGTCGAGGATTGAGAACCCGAGAATGTGCATTTGGGGTACTGCTGGAATTTCACCAGCTAAAACCACATAGCTTGCCAACTGTTCCTGCTACCTGTCCAGCTAGGACTACCCTATCTGTTGGGGCTTTGACTTGCATGGTTGATAGGAACTCCCACCCTACCGGGTAACCGGGTTGTTCCTCCACATCCTGAAGTCCAAGCCTGATGAGCCAAGATGGCTGCTCTGTAATCAGCTGTGGCTTGGAGCCTGTCTCTGGAATCAGATTAGAAACCACCTCAAAGGGTTGACTCAATTCTGACATTCGATTGCCAAGCACATCACCTTGTGGCCCACTCAGTTGCATCTTAACCCCCATTCCCCCCCAACCCCCCACCCATCCATCCTTTGCAGGAAGTTATTCATTCGTCCAAAAACAATAATGAAGGGAGTAACCAATTAATTGTAAATTTTGAAGTGAGTTTGGATGAGGAGGGAATATAAACTATATTAATTCCATTTCGCTTTGAAATAGTCCTTCACCTTGTACCTGGATCACAAAGCGATACACCTACATTAATGACTGACCTGTTGGGGACATTGAAACTAACTGTGTTGTCCCCACTGCTTATCTCAGTTTAAATAGTTTAACTGGTTACTTATTACAGCTTGCAAAATATATATTTAACCATCCAAACTGTTAATCTTAAACCTTTGGGTAGCTAGCTGAGCTGTATGCTGTGTTCATAAGAACATAAGTGTTAAGTGTTCAGAGGGATTTGGGTGTCCTTGTACACCAGTCTCAGAAAGTTAGTTTGCAGGTGCAGCAGCAACTAAGAAGGCGAACGGCATGTTAGCGTTCATTGCAAAAGGTTTAGAGTACAAGAGTAGGGAAGTCTTGCTGCAACTGTATACGGTTTTGGTGAGACCGCACCTGGAGTATTGTGTGCAGTTTTGGTCTCCTTATTTAAAAAAGAACATACTTGCCCTCGAGGGGGTGCAGCGTAGATTCACTCGGTTAGTTCCTGGGATGAGGGGAGTGACCTATGAGGATAGGCTGAATAAACTGGGGCTGTATTCTCTAGAGTACAGAAGAATTAGGGGAGATCTTATTGAAACATATAAGATTCTTAAAGGGCATTGGAACCTTTAACGTGTCAGTTACCCACTTCTCCCCCAATTCTCTACCCTCCTGTGCTTTCTACAGTCACTATGGCAGCGATTGTCTTAGACTTTCATAACGATGGCATGTGGTGACTTGTGTGTATGTGTGCATTTGTGAGTGAGTGAGTGAGTGAGTGTGTGTGTGTGGGGTGGGGGGGGGGGGTGGTAGGGGGCTGTATTCTCTTGGGAGGTGGGAAACTCACTCTGTTCCCATATGGTGATTACTGACTACAGCGTCTCGGGTTCCACAAATTGCTGTTCCCCCGCCCCAACAGAGCAAGGACATCGCTTCTAAACCTCCTTATACTCCCCTCCAGCCTCTCTCATATGTCTGTCTACCTCCCTCTTGAAAGCCAAAATGGACTCCCATCTCCACCACCCTCCTGAGCTACTCTCTGGGTGAGAAAACTCCTAACTTCTGTCTTTGTGTGGTGAGCTGATAATGATGTCCCCCAGTCACTGCCTCCCCTAACAATGGACTGTCTATTTACCCTAACAAAACCCCTCATGATTTTACACACTTCAATTGAATTCCCTTCAACAACTTGCATTTACACAGCATCACAGGTTAGCATCCCAGAGCGCTTGACAGTGGCGGAATCTGACCCTGAGCCAAGGTGAGAGGGGATGGAGGTGACCGTAAGCAAAATCAAAAATGAAGGTCTTCAGGTGGGATTTGAAAGTGGGGATGGAAGGGGCAAGGTGTAGGGATCGAGGGAGAGATTCCAGAGTTTCGGGGCCTCATGGCTGAAGCTACGGCCACTGATGGTGGAGTGGAGAGGGCAAGGACCGAACAGGAGGCTGGAGCAGAGGCAGCAGGTGGGGGAGTGCTGAAGATCTTTCTTTTCGACCGTGCCTTTGGTCACCTTCCCCCTCATCCCCTGGCTCGGTCCTGGGATCCGAAACTGTAATGTGCTCTGAGATGCGGGGAAGGCACTATATAAATCCAACTTGTTGTTGAGTGGGGTGTGAGCAGGTCAGGTAGTTAGGGAGTTGTGAGGGCATGAAGGGATTTGAAAACCTCTGCTCCAGCAAAAACAAGACCTATCATAACTATCGCCCTTCATCTCCCAGTAGACCTCCTCTCCCGCCACCCCTCCAAAGGCTTAACATCTCTCCACAGCTGGACACAGTACTCCAGTTGTGGCCTAACCAGTGATTTATATAAACTTCCTTTATTTTTGTACTCTCTGCCGCTGTGTATACGCCCAGCCTTTTTTTATAGCCATTGTCACTGTGATGCCACATTTAGTGACCTGTCCTCAGCTCCTTGAGAGATACTGACACTCAATAACCACAACAACTTTTTATTTATATAGCCCCCTTCATGCGGGGTAACTGTCCTGGAGCTCTTAAATATTCCAATACATATTCCTTTCCCTTTTTCTACCAAAATGAATCGCCTCACATTTCCTTTCACTGAATCTCACCTGCCATTGATCAGCCCATTGCACTGATCTGTTTAAATTAGAACATAAGAACATGAGAATTAGGAGCAGGAGTAGGCCATTCAGCCCCTCGAGCCCACCCCGCCATTCAATAAGATCATGGCTGATCTATTCTAACTCCACCTTCCCGCCTTATCCCCATATCCCTTAATCCCTTTATCCATAAGAAATCTATCAATCTCAGTCTTGAATATGTTCAAGGACTGAGCATCTACAGCCCTTTGGGGTAGAGAATTCCATAAATTCACTACCTTCTGAGTGAAGAAGTTTTTCCTCAACTCAGTGCGAAAGGGCTTAACCCTAATTTTAAGACTGTGACCCCTGGTTACCCCGGGGAAAAAAGTCTCCCACTATCTATTCTGTCGTGCCCCTTAATAATCTTATAGGTTTCTATAAGATCACCTCTCATTCTTCTTATTCTAGAGAATATAGGCCTAAATTGCTCAACCTATCCTCATATCATCCCCTCATCCCTGGTACCAACCTAGTGAATCTACGTTGTACCCCCTCAAGGCGAGTACATCCTTTCTTAAATAAGGAGACCAAAACTGCACACAATACTCTAGGTGCGGTCTCACCAGGGCCCTATACAGTTGCAGCAAGACTTCCCTACTCTTATATTCTAACCCTTTTGTAACAAATGCCAACATACCGTTAGCCTTCCTAACTGCTGCTGTACCTGCAAACTAACTTTTTGTGACTGGTGTACAAGGACACCCAAGTCCCTCTGAACACTAACACTATCTTGTCTCCCCTTCTAAAAAATAATCTGCTCTACTGTTTTTGCCACCGAGGTGGATGACCTCACACTACCCTACATTATACTTCATCTGCCACCTATTTGCCCGCTCACCTGCCTATCTATATCTCGTTGCATTTTTTTAATGTCATCCTCTGTGTTTACTCCCCCTCCTACTTTAGTGTCATCCGCGAATTTGGATATATTAAGTTCCATGTCCTCATCTTGATCGTTGATGTAGATTGTAAATAGCTGAGGCCCAAGCACTGATCCTTGTGGCACTCCACTAGTCACATCCCACCAATCTGAGAAGGACCCGTTTATCCCTACTCTTTGTTTTCTTCCCGTTAGCCATTCTTCAATCCATGCTAATATATTCCCCTTAATTCCATGGGCCCTAATCTTGTGGATCAACCTTTTATGCGGCACCTTATCGAATGCCTTTTGGAAATCTAAATACACTACATCCACTGATTCCCCCCTATCTAATCTACTTGATATGTCCTCAAAAAAATCTAAAAGATTTGTTAAGCATGACTTCCCTTTTGTAAAGCCATGTTGACTCTGTCTAATCATATTGTGATCCTCTAAGTATCCCACTACGACATCCTTAATTAAGGATTCTAGAATTTTCCCTACCACCGATGTCAGACTAACTGGTCTATAGTTCCCCATCTTTTCTCTCCCACCCTTCTTAAATAGTGGTGTGACGTTTGCGATCTTCCAATCAATGGGAACCGTTCCAGAATCCAAAGAATTTTGGAAGATCAGACACAAGGCCTCCACTATCTCATGAGCTACCTCTTTTAAAACCCTAGGATGCAGACCATCAGGTCCAGGGGACTTGTCACTTTTTAATGCCAACAATTTCCCTAGCACCAATTCTTTGCTAATGTAAATTTCCCTAAGTTGCTCCCTATCATTAGCCCTTGGTTCATCTCTATTTCTGGTAAACTTCTTGTGTCTTCTAACGTGAAGACAGAAGCAAAGTATTTATTTAGGGACTCTGCCATATCCTTATCCCCCATTATAATTCCTCCTGTCTCTGCCTGTAATGGACCCACATTTACTTTTGCTAGCCTATTCCTCTTAATGTATTTATAAAAACTCTTACAATCTGTCTTAATGTTCCTAGCTAGCTTGCCCTCATAATCCATTTTCTCACTCTTAATGAGCTTTTTGGTTTTCCTTTGTTGGTCCCTAAAACACTCCCAGTCCTCAGTTTGCTACTCTTTTGGCAGTTTTATAGGCCTTTTCTTTTAGTTTTATACTTTCTCTAACTGCTCTAGTTAGCCACGGATGAACTGCTTTCCCTGTGGTACTCTTATTCCTCAAGGGAATATGTGACCGCTGAGAATTATGCACTACATCTTTAAACGTTTGCCATTGTTGGTCTATTGTCATATCCATTAATCTAATTCCCAGTCTATTTTAGCTAATTCTTCCCTCATACCTGCAAAGTTAGCTTTATTTAAATTTAAGACCCTTGCTTCGGATTTGACTACATCGGTCTCTAACTTAATTTTAAATTCTATCATGTTATGATCACTCTGCCCTGGAGGAGCCTTAATATCTATGTTACCATCTAGCACTGTTTTGTTACACAAAACAAGGTCTATGATGGCCTGTCCCTGAGTTGGTTCCTCAGCTACTGCTCCAGAAAGCTATCGCTCATACACTCTATAAACTCCTCCTCTACCCTACTTTTGCCGATTTGATTTTCCCAATCTATGTGAAGATTGAAATCACCCACTGTTACTGTATTACCTTTGCTACATGCTCCACGTCCTGTGGTCTCTGGCCATCCTTGTGACTAGTCACAGTGCTTCTGAGCTTGGTATCACCTACAAACATTGATACCATCTGTTCTGCCTACAACAGCAACAATTTGTATTCACACAGCACCCCTCATGCAGGGCAGCATCCAAGAGCACTTGACAAGTGGAGCACAACACTGAGCCGGGGAGAGAGGGCGGGTGACTGTAGGCACAGTCAAAGAGGAAGATCTTCAGGCAC